CAAACGTTCCATATGAATTGAGATTTATTGACATCAGAAATTATATAGCGGGTGGGACATTAGACCAATTCACTCAAGATTTCGGAAACAATAAATCACGTGTTAAATCCTTTTTCCCTTATCAATTCATCACATGGGAAATTACGAAGAAGAATTATATAAAGGAACCATTCACGAAGATTCATTTTATTCAGCATTAACAAGAAACTATATCAGATAGTGATTATCAAATATATCTCAATGATGCTAAAAATTTAAGAATAGATTAGAATATTTTATTCATTATTGCAATAAAGATGTTGAAATTATGATTGACCCAATTGATAAAATTATTGAAGAAACATTTGTTTATAAAATTGACATGCTTCATAATCTTTCTTTATCATCGAATGCTTCAATGATTCGTTACGCTTTAGCATATAAGACTTTAATCCTAACGAAAATATCCAGAAGAAGAAAATGTGGAATCAAGTTTTGAATTAACGAAAAAGTATTGGAAATATAAAATTGAATCATATAAGAAACAAGATGAAAAAGCAGAAAGGATACTAAAAACAATGTTTCAATGGATGATTCAATACTATCACGATTTAATCCTTTCATCTAAATGCAAAATGTGTGGTAAAGCGTTTACATATGCAAATAAACCAACATTGGATAGAATCGATAATGAAAAACCACATACCAAAGAAAATTGTCAGTTAATGTGTTGTTATTGCAATGTCGTAAAATCAAATAAAGATGAAGATGTTCAACGTTTAAGAATCAATTTAAGAAATTATGCATTAAAAAATAATTTACCAATGACTTTAGATTCAGTTGAAGCTTATCACATTCTCCGTAATGGAATTACTGGTGGTCTATCAAATGTTCAACATAGAGTAATCTTAAAGGAATCACGCACATTAATAAACTTTCATATAATCCAGAAACTAAAACTGTATCAAATGAGGACACCCAACATTATGACTCATTTCGTTGGTGTTGATTTTAATTCATTATATCCTTCATCATTTTCATCTAATCCTCATGATTTCATTCAATATACTGACCATAAAATGTATATGCCGGGAAGATTGAATGGTGTTATCATTTGTGATACAGCAACAAAGAAAGCAAAAGCACTGGGAATAATTAAGAAGAAAAATACTTTATTCGTGGCTGAAGTAAAGGGTCACATTGATGAAAAATACATTAATGATTACATAAACTTTTTACCGATAATAAGAAACTTAGATATTATCACAGATGAAAAAACAATTGGCAGTTTTATGTATAATTACATGAAATCAAACAATCTACCAGTTGACCAGAAACAGAGAAATTAACTCAGTTAGCATCAACACACAACCAATATCAACCATTTTCTTCTTATTATCTTTGGTATCTAATAGACAGATTTCATTTTATCATCGATGATATTCAATCAATTTTAACATTTACTAAAAACACTTGTTTTAATGAATTTGCGAACAAATTTATGAACGAAAGACAAAAGGCTGAATTAGAAGGAAATAAAGGAAAAAGTTTATTTTGCAAGATTTCACTTAATGGATCATATGGTTACGATGCAATGAATACACAAAATTACGCAAAGACTAAAATAATGAATGCACAGAAGGCACGCGTTGCATGTATGTCAAATAAGTTTAAAAACATAAGAGAAATAGGTGAAGATACATATCAAGTGATGCTTAAAGATAGATTTTATAGATGTGATACATGTTTACAAGAGGCATTCTTCACTTTAGATAATGCTAAATACTGGTATTTGGTTTTCATTTATGATTTTATGTATAAATGCATGGATGTTAATCGTTTTCATTTCATTGAAGGTGATACTGATTCATCTTATTGGGCAATCGCTGGCGACCAAATCTTCCTAACACTCAAGCATTTCAAGCAATTGTTACCGATAAACAATTTTATGATAAAAACATTTTCAAATTCGCACCTTTGATTTCTTCTGTTTTGATGAGAAATTTAAACCTAAATTAAAGAATAAAGCTGAAGAAAAAGCACATGAGAAGAAGTTATTGGGTTTAGCAATTGAGAAACAAGGTGATAACATGGTTGCTTTATGTCCTAAGTGTTATACATCATTCAACGGTTCAATTGATGGAAGTGATTTTAAAAAGATTGCACAAAAAATGAAAGGTGTTAGTTTACGACAAAATAAACAATTAACACCTAAAAATTATTTGGATATAATAAATGATAAAGTGATATTTGATGGTCAGAATATTAATTTACAACTTAAAAACGGGTCAATGACTCGCTTAACAATTGGTAAGACTGCATTAACAGGAGCACACACTAAGGCTGTATGTTGTGAAAATGGATGTTGTATGCCATTTATTTAATAAAATACAGAAGAGACAAAAGGAACCGTTAATGATGGTTTTGATTCTTGATCAAAGAGGTGGGCACCCTTAAAACATTGATTTTATTTTTATATAAATGGATAACAGATTTAAAAATTTAATTGATGATTTAGTATTTAATCAAAATTTTCTTAATTATTATGATTTAAAAGCATATCTCCAAAAATATGATAACAATATAACGGGTGATGATATGGAATATTATTATCCATATTATAAAAATGAAATTTTGAAATATCATGATAAAATAATTTCTAAAATTAAAGACAAAATTAAAAATAATGAATATTCAAAGGGAAAAACTAAATCACAACTTAAACAGTTGAAAGATTTCAAAAATAAAGTATTAACAGAAGAAGATATTGATGAATTATATAAATTATATAATCCTGAGCCGCAAAAAACAAAGGAACAAAACGCCCAGGTCCTTCAGACCATAAATGAAGCACAAGCTTTAATTTATGATTCATTAGTTAAACCATATTCAGCCCGACTTTTAAATGAAGATCAACTTTTGGAATTCATCCTTCAACATAAACTCGAAGCGGGAAAGTATATCAAACCTTTATATACAGCATATTTAAAACAAATGAATAGAATACATCCAGAATTAATGAAGGAGGAATGAATCTCAACAAAATCAAAGCAGATAAAATTAAACCACTTGCAACACCAAAACCTCCAACAGTATACCTCCTCCTTCAGTTAATCCTTCATCATTCACTTTATTATATCCATTTCAAACATTAAAGAAGCAAAAAGATTTTAAAAAGGATTTCAAGATATTAAATAAACCAATTGACCCAAAATTCAACCTTAAAGGAAAAATTTAGTCGCCTTCATTTGCTCCATATCCATATTCATACGAAATCGATCATCTGGAATATTCAAAAGGAAACGTTACTTATTTATTTGCCATTAACATTAACACTAGATATTTATATTGCATTCCGGTGAAAGGGAAAACAGAACAGGAAACAAGAAGAGCTATTCAATACTTACTAGATCATGAAAGAGTAGATAATATCAGGGGTGATGGTGATAAAGGATTTCAGGCAGCTATGGCTCATTATTTCCCACAAATTAATTTTTACTTTTCATCCTCTCCATATACGTTTCATAATAAAATAGTTGATGCGGTAATGAGAACTCTTAGAGATGCGTTAGGGGTTAACGGTCAGATATACTGGGATGGAAATCATGACTCCATCATACAACAGTTAGTATATTATTACAATAATACATGGCATAGAACTATAAACATGAAACCAGTGGAAATGAAAAATGATATTTCAAAAGAATGGGAATATATTAGAAAGCAAATGGAAAGGTTAAATGATGTTAAACGTGAACAAATTAATTCGGGGCTCATGAATTTTAAACAAGGGGATAAAGTTTTGAATTCATCTCGATTATGGAAAAACTGATAAATCAATGACAAAAAGAAGACGAAGATTTGACACAATAGCTGAATTTGTTAGATATATTAACGGCAATGCATTAGTTGAAGTTGACAATAAATTAATAGAAATTCCGATTTATTTTATTACTCCATTATATTTAAATAATATTTAATTTTTTTATTTCGTAAGAAATGAGTGACAACAAAGCAGTCAAGAGTCCAGACAATGAATATAAAAAGAAACTAAACAGAATTAAATCAAAAATATGCTATTACAAAAAGAAGCGCAATGCGGTGGGGTTGAAAACGATAAAGAAATAATCGAAAAATTAGAAACTTACCGTTCAATCATTAAACTGAGTGAAGCAAAAATAAAAGAATTTAATAGAATAAATAAATTGATTGGAAGAGATGAATTTAATAAAGATGAATTTTTAAACTCTATCCAAATTTAATTTTTATTCCTCTTCGACAACATCTCTCTTTCCATCATTACTGCATAACCACATTTTCTCAATTTTAGTGGTTTGTTATTTTTAACATGTTCTTGCATCATTTTTATCATTTCCTCCCTTGTTATGATTCGTGGTAAATTTTGAGCTTGTGGGGTATTCATTTATGATAAAAATAAAAATTTAAATTATGCCGTTCTAAAGTTTGAGACAACATGACATTTTGACAACATAGTGGGTTATTCAATAATTAATTATTTTTGAAGAACTGAAGGGGTCACCAGGTCACCAAGGTTCACAGGTGGGTCACCAGATTTACTTATTTAACTTCTATGAAAAAATGAGACAACATGACATTTTGACAACATAGTGGGTTATTCAATAATTAATTATTTTTGAATAACTGAAGGGGTCACCAGGTCACCAGGTGGTCACCAGGTTATTTAACTTCTATGAAAAATGAGACAACATGACATTTTGACAACATAGTGGGTTATTCAATAATTAATTATTTTTGAATAACTGAAGGGTCACCAGGTCACCAGGTGGTCACCAGGTTATTTAACTTCTATGAAAAAATGAGACAACATGACATTTTGACAACATAGTGGGTTATTCAATAATTAATTATTTTTGAATAACTGAAGGGGTCACCAGGTCACCAGGTGGTCACCAGGTTATTTAACTTCTATGAAAAAATGAGACAACATGACATTTTGACAACATCACAGGAGGAAGGCAAAAATAAATTCCAATCATACTTTATACTGCCTCATTTACAGGTATTTCATCGTCAGTAAATGATTCCTCATTATCGTTTGGTTCAATTTGTTTATATAATCCTTTCATTTCTTCTTTCAAAACATAATACCATGTTTGTTTACCATCTATTTTTCTTTGTTTCCTTTCACATTTATCCTTAATGCTCATTTGAAAGTTTTTGTCTTTCATGTCTGATGGTTTGCAGAATAGAGCATTTTTACACGTCATACCTGCACATAATTCATCATAATGTGTATTTATCCATTCATCTAAAGGATTTGTTGATAACTCGATTAAATCTTGTTTGGCTTCAGTCATCGGTATGATTCGTACATTAAATGATGAAAGGTCATATTGCATAAAATATGTTAGTAAATTATCATAAAATTCCTTTGTGCATGAATCCATTAAATTCTTGAAGTAATCAAATTGACCCTTAAATTTACCATTAACCCTTAAAACTACGTATCTTCTGTCTCCAACTTCAATTTTGACAGGGTAGACGTTATTAGTTACGAAAATAAAGTTTGCAACGTTCTGAGCAGTTCTTCTGGGTTGATTCTTTTCATTAATTCTAATCTCATTATCCGTAATAATTGATTTCAAAGCGTTGAAGTTTGCGAGTCTATCTTCACCTACATTCTTGAGTTCATTAAGTACAAGAAACATTTTATTCTCAACTACTGAGTTGAAATTACCCGTTAGCTCACTTATTTCAGTAATGTTTTTACATGAATAACCGGCGAGGAGTTCAGAAATAATGTCTGTGAATCTGTTTTTACCTGTTCCCTGAAGTCCTTTCAAAATAATTGCTGTTTCATTCTTGATTCCAGGATGTTGAATCATTGATGCAATCCAGCCGAGAAGGTATTTATACACTTCATCGTTATTATCACAAATGACTTCTTTAATGAAATCCATAAACATCTCAATTTTTGAGTAATCAGGCTTTTCGAGAATGTTGTATTTATAACCTTGAAACGTTGAGAAAACATCTGGGGAATCAGATTTAAAGCAAACACCCTTAACGGTTAATGAAGACAATTGATTTAGTAGTACATCCCATGCTGTTATTGTTTTACCTTCTTCTTTAAATAATTTAATCATTTTGAGTGACTCTTTCATGTTTGACTGAAGAACGAATGATATTTGATTCATTTTGTCGTGTATGTTGTAATCTTTCTGAATGAAATATTTGTTTCCACAATCTACAAAACGGATTACACGTGATAAATCCTCAATTACTTCAGAACTGTTTTTATACTGATGATTTTCAGCCTTGCGTCTAATATCTGTTATCAAAAACGAGTCATCAAGTTTGATATCAAATGTTATTTTTGGCTTACGTAATAAAGGTAAAACATATTCATCATAATATTCCTTTTGATAAAGTTTTAGAATCTTCACCAAAACAAATGGCGAAGTCATTAAATGTGCATATCTACTACGTGCTTTTTCAAAATTACTTTTAGCATTTTCAGTTAAGCTGCAGAAGTTATAAACGTTATCGTAGGCTTCATTAATTAAATGATTAGGTAACGAATTAATAGCTTGAAACAGTGTGAATAATGTTATTTCTTTTTCTAAATTCATGTTTCCACCATCATTATGTACTTCAAAATCACATATGCCATCAACTATGCTCTGGGCAAGTTTATCGTCAATGTTTACATCTTTGTTTTCATTCATAATAGTCTTTATTTCTTCATTCTTTTGTTCAACTCTTACCTTAATATTCAAATCATTTAATATATCATTCACTGTTCTAGTTAATGTTGAATCATAACTTCCACGAATGAATGAGTATGTATTGATTGGTTCTGTTGCATTCTTGCGAACTCTTGAATCAGCCATAACCACTAATGAACGTTTTGAATCATCAATAGAAGTCATGATATCAATATCATAATCATTGCAGGAATAACATTTAATCATTCTGTTCGAGGTTGAATAGAAGAAATTAGTGTTGCAATAAATGTGAAGACCTCCTGATGCGGTTTTAACGATAACATCTTTATCCGAAAGTTTTGATAAAATGTCTTTTCTAACTGTTTCTTTAAGTTCATCATTGTACGATTTATTGATATCAACATCTATAATCGTTAAATTTGAAATTTTATTTACTAATAAAGCCATACCAGTTTTCCTTCCTCTTCCTCCATCATGTTTGAGGTAGTTATGTAAATCAATCATGTTTTCACCAATTCTTTCGTTGAGGGTTTTAGTTTCTGCCACAACTAATTCCGCAACTAATGAATCAATAACTTTTTCATCAGAAACGATAAAGTTGCTGTTGTTGTTTGTTGCTGTCATTTATATAGGAATAAAAAAATAAAAATAATTTTAAAACTAACTTTATTTTTGGACTGCATCAAATTTTCTGTGATGTTGTCAAAATGTCATGTTGTCTCATTTTTTCATAGAAGTTAAATTACCTGGTGACCACCTGGTGACCTGGTGACCCCTTCAGTTCTTCAAAAATAAGTCATAACTGCCTTCCCCTGCTGTGTTGTCAAAATGTCATGTTGTCTCATTTTTTCATAGAAGTTAAATTACCTGGTGACCACCTGGTGACCTGGTGACCCCTTCAGTTCTTCAAAAATAAGTCATAACTGCCTTCCCCTGCTGTGTTGTCAAAATGTCATGTTGTCTCATTTTTTCATAGAAGTTAAATAACCTGGTGACCACCTGGTGACCTGGTGACCCCTTCAGTTCTTCAAAAATAAAGTATTATTGAATAACCCGAAACCATTAATGATAACACATATTTCTGGTCGTTAATGACAAAAATAAATGGTTCATTTACTCACCATATTTTTGTACAAAACGACCCCAAACTTTTAACTTCTTTTCTGCAGCTTCAAATGCTATCTTAGCGAGTTCATATTCTCTAAATTCTCTCTTTAAATCTTCTTGTTCCCATTGGTCTAGTTCGTATGGAGAATCTCTATAACCATAACATAACTCACATTCATGTTCTAATTGTTTTTTGCACATTTTTCTAACTTCTTCTTCAAACAAAGGTTTAGCATTCTCTACTGTATCTTCAAGTTCTCTTCATCTAATTTCTCATGAACTTTCTTGTCTATGGAGTCCATAATATCTTTGACATAAAATGCATACTTTACAGAGCACCATTCAGCAACAAAATGAACGAGGTCAGGATGTATGTAAATACCTTTGAATTCATTTATAACACCCTTAGTAAGCTCATAAAATGCTTGTTTTGAGGTCGAGCCACTTTTGGCTCCACCGTATTCGTTCATCCAAAACTCAAGAATTTCCTGTATTTTAGCACTATTGAGAAATCTGTTTAAATGGTTTAACTTTCCTGCTTCTCTTGCCATCTTTGTTGCATTAATGTAACCATCCTTGTCTCTACGTAAGACTTCAATACCGTTATAAGTGCCTTTTGTGAATGTTTCGCCATTAGATTTGTTCGTGAATGTTTTTGCTTCGACTGACATTTCTGTTCTTACATACAAAATAAAAAAAATAAATAAAAATAATTTTAAAACTAACTTTATTTTTGGACTGCATCATATTTCCAGTGATGTTGTCAAAATGTCATGTTGTCTCATTTTTTCATAGAAGTTAAATAACCTGGTGACCACCTGGTGACCTGGTGACCCCTTCAGTTCTTCAAAAATAATTAATTATTTTTGAATAACCTGAAACCATTAACGTAAACATTAACGTAAACATATATTTCTGCAGTTCATCCATTACTTCATTACCTAATTAATTACAGACATAAAATATATTTAGTTCATTCAATAAATGCGGTACCATGCGAATACAGTCATAAATGGTGGCATATAATCTTCACCCAACCTGCAGCTTTCTTAATTCCATCCCATAATTTTTTAAAGAATCCTGCCGCCATTTCTGATTTAATATTAATTAAAAAATATATTCCATCAATTATATTCTAATTTTTATTTAATGATAAATGAAACCAATTTTAAAAATAAATGAAACAGAGGAGGAAGAAATAAATGAAAGTGAAAATGTTCAACAAAAATAAACATTGTTAAACCAATTACTGAAATAAAAATTTTTTCATCTGTTGATGAATTTAATGACTATTATGCTAATAATAAAAAATTATTTGAAGAATTGACAACATGTAAATTGAATAAAATGTTTAAAGTTGATGGATTCAAAATTTCAAAAATAAAAGGAGTGGTTAGTTTGAAATCTATTCCCCAATCAAGAATCACCTCATTAATGAAAATAGATGATTTAACAAAAAGAATAGAAATTATTGAAGAGCGAATAAATCAAATAATTGATTTCATAAATTCAAATAATCATTAGTTTCAATTTATTTTTAAAGTTTATTTTTTATTCATGAAAATAATTATTTCTAATTTCTTTTACTCTCTCGTACATACTAGATTTAAAGAATTCAGAACTTTTACCATAATCTCCTAAATGTTTTTTATCCCTAACGTGTGCCAGTTATTATATGAAACTGAATAAACTTTATCTTTATCTTTGCATCTTTCATCACTTCCAATATATTTATATTTCAATTTTGATTTAGCATTTTCATATTCATTAGCGTTTAATAATTCACAGTCTTCCTTTTTAAATTGATGTTTAAGATATTCAGGATTTAATACTCTACGTTTATATGCTCCTAACTTAGTTCTAAAGGTTTTTCTACAAAATTTAGGAATTCCATCCTCTTTAATGTCATCAATGATTTCCATTTCATTATTTTCAATTTCTTCTTCTCGTTTATGAGGTCTTTGATTATGACTCCATTGATTCCATGAAATTAAATATTCTTTATCATTATATTTATACTTCATTAGCTTATTTTGGCTTTCATATTCATTTAATAATTCACAATCTTCATTTTTAAATTGAAGTTTAACCCATTCAGGATTTAAACAATGTTTAATTAATCGCGGAATATCTGACATCATCTATATATAGCTTCTTTTATAAAAGATAAAAAATAAATTATTTTAAAATTAATGTTAATTTTTTTAATGTGTTTATAAATAAATATATTTTAATGCATCGTCTATATATAGATGTAACAAAAAAAGTCATTAAACCCGTACTCATATACTACTGATCATTGAAAAACAGAACTTGTTATTTTATTGATATTTAAATCATATGAAAATGTTTCCACTTATATCTTTGGACAGAAGCATGTTTGCTCACACTTTTAATTGAATTTTACGCACCTCTTCAGAATTTTTTTCGTTTAGAGTTTTCAATCGTTTTGAATTCGTATTCTATTATTTTTATCCTAAATCTTTTTCTTCGTCTGAACTCTAATCTATTTAATAAGATTCAGAAGCTTTTAAAAAGTTAATTTAGATCGAATAAAAGTTACATATTTTCCGATGTACTTCATATTAAATCATAATTAATTTTATTAAATTCTGAATTTTTATTGATAATTTGACACAAAATTTTGTGAAAAAAATTACTCCTTTTATGATTGAACTTGTTCTTTTTATACGTATAAATGTTTTTAGACTTTTTAAAAATTTATTCAGAAAATCGTATATTAAAAAGTTTAATTTCTAATTTAGGATTATCGAACTATATTAAGCCAAATTTAGTGAAACAGATTTTTATTATCGTTGCATATTTAAATTTTTCTGATTAAATTCTTTTAAGATTCAGAGTACAGCTATTTTCAAAATGATTTATTTAAGATAGCTAAACACATAACAATACAGAATTTCTCAAAGAAACCATTCTGTAAAATTTCTATATCTTTTCAAAATATTTATCAATTTTCTTTAATTTTTCATGATTACGTCCTTACATAATTCCAAGCATTGCAAGATGCATCATAGTCAAACCCTACGAGACTATGAGAAAATCCAAAAGAGAGTTAAACAGAATGAGGGAAAGCTGGAATTCATTACAGAATATCTTGACCATTACTTTGGAGCACTTTGGTAAAGCTTAATAATAAAGCCATGAATAAAAAAAATTACGAATTTTATTTTACATTTCGTTCTATCGATGATATATAATATAAATTGAGCAACTAGATCGTAATTATTAAATAATTTAAAACTTTTAATGTTTGATCATAGTAGTATATGAGTACGGGTTTAATGACTTTTTTTGTTACATCTATATATAGACGATGCATTAAAATATATTTATTTATAAACACATTAAAAAAATTAACATTAATTTTAAAATAATTTATTTTTTATCTTTTATAAAAGAAGCTATATATAGATGATGTCAGATATTCCGCGATTAATTAAACATTGTTTAAATCCTGAATGGGTTAAACTTCAATTTAAAAATGAAGATTGTGAATTATTAAATGAATATGAAAGCCAAAATAAGCTAATGAAGTATAAATATAATGATAAAGAATATTTAATTTCATGGAATCAATGGAGTCATAATCAAAGACCTCATAAACGAGAAGA